GTCTGCACTGGTGACAACTTCGTCCACGATAGCTTTAGGCCACAGACCCTTTGAGGTGCGTGTATCACAAACTAGAACTAATTCGCCCTTACTTAGGTTCTTACACTTATCAAGCCATTTTGGTCGCCTCTGCAGTGTAGGTAGGTAGCTGCGGATCCATTTTTTCCAAAATGTTTCGCTCAAGTGCTTCACTTGTCGCCAACGTCTACTCAGTCTCAGAGGTAGGTTTATTTTTGCATCCTTTGGTGGCTGGTTGGTACACATGATTAGCAGTTCCCGAGGGGATATGGTGGCATACGGATCCGGTGAATCTGGCACCGGAGTCAGCGGTCTATCGTTCAGTATCCCTTCTACTTCGATAAGGGTCGTTAATAAAACGTCGTCAGTAACCACCTGATTATTCAGTATACCACCTAACAACGCTCGAATGGACCTAATCAGCCGCTCCCACAAGCCCCCACGATGACTTGCACATGGTGGATTGAATATCCAGTCGCACTCCTTGTTGCTAGCTCTGTCGATAAGCCTCTGTTGATTCAATCCTTTCAGTAGAGATTTCAGTTCAGTCTCTGCTCCGTGAAAGTTTTGGCCGTTGTCACTGTACACCCTCGACGGCCAACCACGCCTGGCAGCAAAACGTGTGAACGCACATAGGAAGGAGTCCGTATCCAGTGATGGGGACACTTCAATGTGTACTGCTCTTGTTGTCAGGCAAGTGAACAGACAGCCGTACCTACGTTCACGTACACGCCCACGCGCAACTATGATTGGTCCAAAGTAGTCGACGCCTACGGTGCTGAACGCCTTTTGGTAGACAGCATATTCATCCGGAATAACTGGTGCCATCAGTTGTTGCATGGGCCGGGCATTGCGAATGCAACACGACGCGCAGCGGTTCAGTACTTTTTTGACGGCTCCAATTCCACCGATTATCCAGTACCTCCTTTGAATTTCAGCCAAGGTATGTTGAACTCCTACGTGACCGTTCATTATGTGATAGTGAAATATTAGCAGACGTGTCACGTAATGTTTACTGGGCATCAAGATCGGGTGTTTCACACTAAATGGAATTGGTAAGTATGTTAATCGACCACCGACTCTAATAATTCCATCGTTTAGAAACGGAGCTAATTTTCGTAATCGGCTCGACTTCAGCTTCATGTGTCTCCTGGCCTTCGTTGCACTTTCACTTTCGAGTATGGAAACTTCCTCAGGAAATACCTCTCGTTGTAGCAGTCGAATGAGGATGGTAGTCGAATTCCGAATATCCGCTGCATTTATGCTGCCCGACACATCTCCTATGGGCTTGTGGAGAAACTTCGAAATGCAATACATCTTATATCTGATTAGTATGGCTATTCTTCTTTGTAAGAATATCCAAATGAGGCAACTTTCGAAAATTTGTAACCAGCCGCTTTCTGAGACTGTCTGCATAACCTGACGGAATTCCCGTGTTGTAAACTCGTCCGGAAGCTCGCCGAGGCTTGCAGGCGCCTGAGGCCACAGTGACTCTGGGAGCATCAGGAAGGCGGGTCCGTCAGTCCATCGGCGTAGGTCCTTCTCAGAATTTATGCACAATCCTCGGGAAGCTAGGTCAGCGGGGTTCTGCTTCGACATCACATAACGCCACTGATCAGGACGTGAACACTGGTGGATCATGGATACTCGATTGGCTACGTAAGTCGGGAAACGTCGCGTCAAGCACCGTAGAAGTTGCAAAACTATCATGGAGTCGGTCCAAAAGATCACTGGGCATTCCAAATGCATTTCCTCGACTACTTGCGTGGCAAGTCGCGTCGATAAGACAGCGGCAGTGAGCTCCAAACGGGGAATAGACACGGTCCGTATAGGGGTGACTCTGGCCTTACCGAGNGCAATACATCTTATATCTGATTAGTATGGCTATTCTTCTTTGTAAGGATATCCAGGTGGGGCAACTTTCGAAAATTTGTAGCCAGCCGCGTTCTGAGACTGTCTGCATAACCTGGCGGAATTCACGTGTTGTAAACTCGTCCGGAAGCTCGCCGAGGCTTGCAGGTGCCTGAGGCCACAGTGAATCTGGGAGTATCAGGAAGGCGGGTCCGTCGGTCCATCGGCCTAGGTCCTTCTCAGAATGTATGCACAATCCTCGGGAAGCTAGGTCAGCGGGTTCTGCTTCGACATCACATAACGCCACTGATCAGGACGTGAACACTGGTGTATCATGTATACTCGATTGGCTACGTAAGTCGGGAAACGTCGCGTCAAGCACCGTAGAAGTTGCAAAACTATCATGGAGTCGGTCCAAAAGATCACTGGGCATTCCAAATGCATTTCCTCGACTACTTGCGTGGCAAGTCGCGTCGATAAGAAAGCGGTAGTGAGCTCCAAACGAGGAATAAACACGATCCGTATAGGAGTGACTCTGGCCTTACCGAGAACTAAGCGGCATATGACTTTTCCATTCTCACCCACACATCGCAGGTACACGGCCCCGTATGCTACTTCTGAGGCATCTGAAAAGCAGTGTAGTTGGAGAGCAACCCTTCGGAATCCCTTAGGTGTTAAACAACGAGGTATAGATACACGGCTTAACTCCTTTAGCTCCTGTAACCATCGGGTCCAGCGATTGTTTTCTTCTTCGGATAGCTGTCCGTCCCATTCCAATTTCTGTCTGACAAGGTCCTGCAGTAGCAGCTTTGGATTAAGTAAAACTGGTGCTAGGATACCCAAAGGGTCGTAGACGGAGGCCGCGAAGGATAATATTTTTCTTCGAGTAGGGCTGCCTTCGAATTCCTTCAAGTCGAACTGTATACTGTCGTCGGTGATATTCCACACCACACCAAGTGCACTTTCCAAGCAACCGTACTGGATTCTATGCTGTGATTCTGGAGACCTTAGTTCTTCTGGAGGTAAGGGTCTCAGGACGCACTCTTCATTACTGACCCACTTCACCAAACGGAACCCACCTGAATAAGTGATAGCCTTCAAGTTATCAATCAAACCTATGGCTTCTTCCTCAGTATCCACACTGAACAAGCAGTCGTCGACATAAAAGCACTCGTTAGCTAGATCGATCACATGTTTCGGGAACTTTTCTGCATTATCAGCAATGGCCTGACGAAGCGCGA